AGGGGGAAGATTGTGAGTGGAGGAGGGAGGGCAAGGGGACGAGACCGTCTGAAGACGGGAGGGATGGATGATGTAGGAGAGTAATTGGAGAAAATGCAGAGGCCGACTCCTCATCATCTTCCTCCTCTTCCTCCTCTTCCTCCTCCTCCTCCTCTTGCCGGATTCATCCTTGTGATCTGAACTCCAGCTGGGAAAAGGAGCTGATCTTCTCATCCACGAGGCCACTCATGCAGATGACATGCTGGACAAGGCCAAGTCTGACAGGTCTTCCCCTGCCTTCCCCTGCCTCCTCCTCCTCCTTCTCCTCCTCCTCCTCCCTGCCTCCATGCATTTCTTCTTCCTCCTCTCCACCTGCTCCTCTTCGATTCGCTGTGCAGCATTCCAGTCCTCTAGTTGCTTCGACTGACAAAACCTGCAGGCACTGCACCGTAGAGGAGGCGGTGGGGGTTGCCAGGAGCATGGAGGCCAAGCACACGATCCTCACTCACTTCAGCAGCCGGTTCGAGAAGCTCCTTCCTGACCTCCGAACATATCGAGAGGTTCCAATCCTGTCTTGTCTCCTCATCCTCCTTACCCTTCCTCTTCCTGCTTCTCTGTACTCCCGGTCGTCTCCTCTTCGTCTGTCAACACTCTGCTAGGCCAGCAACATCGCGTGTGCGGTAGATGGCATGCAAGTGAGCTCGGAACGACTTCACCTCCTCCCTCTTGTCAAGTGAGCTGCGGAAAAACTCACCCCTCCTCTTTTTGACCGATGAGCAGCGACATCGTCAGCGACATCCTTCTGGCCGAGTACGGGGATGAGGAGGAGGCAAGTGAACAGGGCGAACTATAGGCGAGTTGACGAAGCGGGGAGAGATCAGCATTGATCGACAATCTTTCATGAATCGGTTCTCAACAACAGTGATGATGCTGTTGAACCTTGTCGACGTCTCCTTCCTCACTGAAAATACCATGAGCTCTCAACTGTATTCGAGAAGATCAACACACCTGCTTCACTCCGGAGATCACGATGCAGTCGACATCAACTTTCCACATTGTGAACTGATACTCCATCTCCGTCTTGGTGTTGGTCACTCCTGCTCACCAAACCTCAGCCTTCAAGGTCGCAGGGAGCACCATAACCTTCACCTGCTTGCGCCAGAAGGTCGTGAAGCTGATCCTCGTGATAGACTTCATGCCCGTCATGCGCGTGCTCGTGCCCATGCCCGTGACTGCACAAAAATGAGCCTCCTCCACCTCTGTCCTCCTCCCCTCCCCAGTCTACCATCCTCGCTCTCCTTCCCTCCCTCCTCTTCCTCTTCTACTCACCCTTTCCCGTGCCCGTGCCCGTGGCCATGCCCTTGCTCATGCCCATGATTGTGCTCGTGCCCATGATTGTGCTCGTGCCCATGATTGTGCTCGTGGCCGTCGCCATGCTCGCCATGGAAGGGAACTCCTCCCTTGAACTCTGCGAGGATGAAGTGTCCGCCAGGCTTCAAGCAAGCAGCAACCTTCTTCACAACCTGCTTCAACAGTGAGAGGTGGACGGAGGAGGGCAAGGGAGGGCAGCACGTCGTATCCTGCTTCTCGAGGATGGAGGTGCCCGATGACATAGGAGATGATGACCATGTCTTTCGTGCCAACGTGTGGCTTGAGCTCCTCGACAGGGTTGGGTGAAGTCTTGAGAGAGGTCAGCTTGGCTTTCACTTCCTCCTTCTCCTGCTCTGCTCATAGAACAACATTATGGAAGGTCCTATCGCAAGCAACTGGACGCGCCTTTCAGCTTCTCAAACTGCCCCAGCATTCCGTCAGACACATCTGCCCCGAGGACGCTCTTCACTTCTGAAAGTGCAGCAAGCTTGCGGGCAGCAACGCCTGGTCCGCACCCGAAGTCTGTTGGAAGGAGTCCGTCAGCTCGACGCGCTATCACAGCCGGCATCGTCACCTAGAATGTCGCTTCCAGGCTTGAGGTATCTCTTGACGCATGATACGACATGCTCAGCATTCGACTGAACGATTTGCTGCAAGACTGTAAGGAGAATGGAAGGAACATATGAAAAAGCTACCTCCTTCACGTACTCTTCAGCCTTGGAGTCGTCGAAGACCATGTGATCCTTGGGATGGTGGTGGTGATCCGACATCTTTTGAGAGCGAAGCAAGGGAAACGCCAGCCCACAACCACAATGCGACACGTCGATGTAAGTAAACAGCCAAATTAACAGGACATGTCTGGTTAGCCTCCAAGCCATTCAGAACTTCCAACTGATCGAAAATGCACATGAGGTTGGATCAAGACAATCAAATCAATGTAAATGTCGCCTTCATTTCCTAATCCAATACATTCACATCCCTTCACGACACCTTCAACCTAATCTGCTCACCTCTATCCTGCCTCGTCCTGCCAGTTTTAACCCTAAATTTCTCGTGTCTGAGACGGTTGTCTACATTTCTCTCCTATTCCTTGCAAACTACTTACATGTCCGTGCCCGTTTTCAACCTGTTCTTCTAATCGCCTTCTACCTTCTCTCCCTCCCCTCCTCTCCCCTCCCCTCCCCTCCCCTCCTCTCCCCTCCCCTCCCTTCCTCTCCCCTCCTCTCCCCTCCCCTCGCAATGATCGTAGAGCGATTCCGCAGGATTCGCCCCCGATACTGTCCCCGTCCCCACCCCCACCATCCCTCTACCCCTTCACTACCCCCGTACTTCCCCTGACATCCTCACATCCCCCGATATTGACAAAGTAAGCAGTTTGAAACTTTGAAACGTTGAAACGTTGAAACTTTGAAACTATTTGAGCGCTCCTCCGGAAACTTTGAATGTTTTATAGTCACCCCGCCCGGAGGTTTGCGGCGCCGTGACTGTCGGCTAGGACTGGGGGCAACATTTTCCGATGAAACCTCTTGGAGGGGTTTTTGATAGAGGTGGAGGGGGGTGGGTGGTAGTTTAGCCGCAACTTTTATCATCCAAACAAGTCGAGATGCATGTGGTTATGTAGAAGTGAAAGTGGTGATCTCAACAACCTTGAGTCGCCTTCAAGCATCTTTGAATACTTTAACACTGCCTGATGCTTCTGGCAGGTCACTTGTCATGATCGCTCTGAAGTCGACCCATCGAGCTGCTGCGCTAACGACCCTGCTGCTCCTGCCGAGTATCCTCTGCAAACAAGAACTTGTCCAGATTCAAGTGATAACTCGACATGGTGCACGAACAGCCCTGCCAAAGACAAAGAAGTTGCTTGAGGGGGGTAGCGCCCTGACGCCTCTGGGAGAGAAGCAACATTACGACCTGGGACTATGGTTGCGCAAAAGATACATCTCGAGTAAGGACGATCCCCTGCGCCTGTCTAAGTTCGATTACACCAAAGTTTACTTGATGAGTTCTGAATTCGACCGTACTATGGTGTCTGCGACATCACTCTTGACAGGACTTTTCCCCGAGGACAGCAGGAACAATGATGTGATGGGTTATTCTCTGCTCCCTGCAGGCACGCCTCGAGCAAACATCCCGCTGCATGTCAAGGAGAACGGAAGAGACATCACGATCCGAGCATACGACAAGTGCCCGTCCTTTGTGCAAGACCTGCAACGCTTCTATGAAACCCCGGAGTTCAGGACCAGACAGCAGGAGCACAAGGATAGTGGACTCCTCTACAAGGTTGCCAAGTCGGCGACCCTGCAGAAGTATGCTGAGGCTGACGAGGACGGGAGACACTTCATACCGCTGACAGAGATCTGGAATGCTTTTGACGAGATCAATGTCGCCAAGACAGAGTGCTCGGATGATGCCGCCGGCAGCGGCACGTGCAAAGCTTTGACTGAGCCGTCATTGCAGAACTTGCTGTCTGAAAGCGAGTGGTTGGAGCTCAAAAAGCTGGCGTTCTGGGTGGAGGCGAAGAAATACGGACGGGAGAATGCGGGGTCTAGACTGGGAAACATTATGTTGGATATTCTTCGAAGGATGGGACCTGTGCTGAAGGATGGCGAAATCGTGACCACGAAAACTCCTGAAGAGCTCGACTCCTTTGTGCTTTACTCAGCCCACTACGCCACAATCTTGGGAGCTCTTGCAGCTTTGGATGTCTCTGCATTTAATGGTGACTTTCTGAAGGACAGAATTCCGGAATACGCCGCTGCTTTAATATTCGAGCTCTATTTCGACAGCGAGACAAAAAGTTACTCGGTTCAAGTCTTATTCAAGGACGGCGGGAAAGAATCAGCAGAATACCTTGCGCTGCAAGAAGACTGTGGCAAGACTGGGCCTTGTCCTCTCCAGGTGCTTGTGAAGCGGCTTCAGCAGATGGGATACGACGACGACCTTGGCTGGTGCAGGGTCTGCTCAAATTCCGATTCTGAAACTTGCCAACTCGGACGCTACCGATCCACCCCGTACAGCGCACACATCGCGGCGGCAGCACTCAGTAGCTCTGCTGGAGTGATCTTGTTGTTCTGCTTGCTCTCGTTGCTCAGGAGGCGATACAACCGCTACCTCAACGATCGCCGAGCAAAAGCGCTGGACTCGAGTCAACTTGAGACTCTTGAACTCAAATCGCACAAACGGGCTGAGCCTGAGGATCGCTCGCAAGTCCAAGCGACCTCGACTACTCCTTCCTATGATGTCGCATGAGCTGAATAGGTCGGAACGGTCGTCGTCACGGTCGGCCGCAGTGGCAGTTATTTTCTTAAGTAAAGCAGTTCCGGCGAAGCCTATCCGTCACTGTCTCCCAGGCTCTCGAGTTCGGGGCCGGGAGCCTCCCGGCGCCCCGGCCCGGGCGGCGATGTTGGCCCAGGCTGACTCACCGGGCGCCCCGCGCGGCCCCAGCGCGCCGGGCGGCGGGAGGCTTGCCATCAATGGACGGATCAATGGAGGTTTCACTGGGCCGCCCAGACAAAGCACTACAAGAAATCAACACATACCTGAAAATACGAATTGCCCCTTCGACTGCAGGGATCGTAGGGGCGGGAATGCAGTGGGTGCTCAGAATCGCTACATGTGCCGAGGGGAAGTGAGAGAGGAGGAGAGGGAGAGGGAAGCGAGACGAGCCTGAGGTCAGACATCAGGATCAAGTGCAACAAGCAAGAGTGTGAACCGATCACTTCAACATGGCGAGCCGTGGAGCATGGAAGTTGAAGGTCCTAGCGAAGATTAGCAGCATAGCACGTCTCAGCTGGATACTTGTGTGCACCTGCCTTGCTCCTGCATCAGCTCAGCTTCTCACTCCTGGAACCATGGCGCCCTACACTGGTCTCTACGTTATTGAAGTTTGCGCCGTTACATGACCCGGTCAATGTGTAGGTGGGGGACAGCGATCGCGAGGATTCGGTTACGTGCGGGAGCCAGCAGAAGGTGTGGGACATGAATGCCTGTGGGGAGGAGGTGACTCACTGTCTGCGTCCTCCTTGCCTTCAGGATTTTTCATCGGAGGCTCGAGTATCAAAGAGATGAATGGCGTTTACAAGCGTGTCAGCGAGGTGTCGTGATTTCGACTTGGTGGGTTGAATTTGATCAAAGACGTTCAGGTCCCTTCTGATATCAAGCACAAATTTCAGCTTGCCTACCGGAAATGGCCTGTAGACGAGCATGATGATATGAGGGGGTGGCATCTCGGCCTTGTCGACGCTCCGGGTGTAAGTGAAGGAGATAATTGAGGAGTTCGGAGCTGACAAGAGGGCAGGAGGGCGCGAACTACCAGGCAGTGGGAGGCAAGAGATCAGAGTGGTTGTTCATCGACACTGAACGGAAGGACCGATTCGGGCATCCGGGAGAAACCATCATCCCGGGATCTGGCGTCAGTTGGGAGCACCTTCATCGTTCGCAAGGCGGGCAACCTGGAGAGGGCAGCGGCAACCAGGTCATGCAAGCCAGAGGCGACGACGAGGACGAGCTGCCATGGCAAGTGATCTTCATCGGGGATGCAGCGGTGAGTCGATCGGGCTGCGTCGTGGCTGTTCCTTGATGAAAGTACGGCAGATGGTGGAGAACCTTCGTCACCATCATCGTTATCATGAGAGAACGCAGCAGCAAGCGCTTATCGGCTCCAACCTTCCCTTCGTCCCTGACTGCGGGGAGACGAACGAGGATGGCAGCTGCAAGGACGACGTACCTGTGCAGGACTTCACGATCCCTGAGGTGATGCACGGAAGTTGGTGTAGGGTGTGGGAGCTGACGGCATTTGTGCAGGAGGCAACAAGGTTGTTTGAAGATGGCGAGTTTGAGCGAGCAGCAGAGGTGTATCATACGGCGCTGCAAGGAGAGTGCGCAGATTGTCATTCGGATCTATCCAAAGATTGGAGGGATGCGGTTTTCCGCAGGCTCAAGGCACGGAGTCTGAGGAGGAGCAAGAAGTACCCTGAAGCTCTTCTTGAGATCGCTGCGGCCCTTCGTCGTTTCCCCCGATACAAGGATGCTCACTTTGAGCTTGGTCTGACGCTGCTGGACGCCGGTTACCCCCGGGTTGCAGTTGCGTCCTTCGAGCGGCTGCTGCACATCGACCGCAAGTGGCCGCAACTGGACGAGTGGCTGACGAGGTCACAAGTGTTCATGATGAGGGATGAAGAGATGAGGCAGCAGATGCAGTCCGTCCCTCAGCTGGAAAGCGCCGACCTGGAGTTTGTGCGAGCGATGAGTTTGGCCATGCAGCAGTGCGGCTTCGTCGTGAACAACGAGCCCCCGAGCACTGCAGACCACTACACGTTCCTTGGGGTCAACTTGGACCACTCGGTCGACGAGCTCAAGAAGGCTTACAAGCGCCTCAGCAAAGTCTACCACCCAGACCGGCAGGGAGGCTCTAACAGCGCGTTCCAACGGGTGGCCCTGGCGTACGAGACTTTGATTGATGAGCAGAGGAGGCGGCAGTATAACCTCGGCAACGACCTGAAGCGACCAATCATGCAGGACGGGAGCGAAGGGCCGCCCTTCCACGAGCGAGTCGAAAGGCACTACTTCCCAGAGCACTTCGACTTCCTCCCTTTCGGCGATCCCTTCGAGCGGAAACGTCAGTTGCATGAAGAGAGGAAGCAGCGCCAGCCGCTCGAGAGCAACCAGCCAGACGTCCCGCCCGGAAGCTACATGGGGAGCTGTCATGGATGCAGGCTCGTATCGGAGGGGAGGAGGCTACATTGCACGCAATGTATGAACACGAGAGGAGAGAGGGTTGATTCAAGCATCTTGCTGAGTGACTGCTCGGAAGAAGAGCACGTCGGCAACGCCGATGGCAGGCTGACGTGCGAGAAAAAACCAGCTCATCTGTTAAACGCGGGGGAGGATCACCATGCAACGGAGCCAGGGGAGGAAATTTCACACCAAGACAGCAAAAGACCAGAACTTTGAGCAATATCTTTCCAACAAGTTGGAGCTGTTTTGATCTTTACATTAACTTTCAAATGAATGATGAAGCTCTTCGATCATATACAAAAGAATTGCCGTCCATTTGTAGATAGAGAATGGACTCGTAACAAGCGTTGGATATGTACACCAGGCCTTAAAGCGGCCTTCAAAGCTTCCTGACAACGCCAAATGCATTTCGTTGGGGTGTTTGCCCCTGTATAATCCTCTGTAGAGCTGATGAGAAAATTCAAACAGAAAGCTTCTCAGCACCTGGATCGCAATTTCTTCCAAAGAGTCCTGATTATCATGTCTCATGACCCGCAGAACTGCGTATTGGATTCACTTCACCATATTCCGTTCACCATATCATGACAACATTACCTGCCACCGAGCCTTCTGCTCCCACCAGCAATCGATTCGCTTCTACAGGTGAGAGCTTTGAGATGTCATTCCCGTCGACGGTTATGACTCTACAGTTCGCTGTCAGTACCTGGTGATGCTTGCTCTGTTCGAGCATGACCCCACCTATCTCCGACCGAGATCCTCCCGCTCAAGGCCGCAACGCCTCCATCCTTCAACCTCACCACCTTCAACCCCGGCAGCATGGACTCGTCCTCGTCCCTTCCGAACGTGATCCCCAGCGTTATCTGCATTTCCATCTCACTTTCCGACTGATACACCTGACCCTGGTACCTGCTTGCCGGTGGCGAGGGGGTTGTTGTCTACTTGGGCTGTGTAGCTCGAGGTTCTCTTAGGCTGTTGTGGAGATGGTCTGGGAAGATGAGGAGACGGTGCCTGAAGGCTCAACCATCAACAAGACTGAGCTGTAGAAAGCTGGTGGCTGAGTACCTTGACGTTGTGGGCTGGAGGTGCCTTGTGGTCACTGACCTGAGTCTTCATCGGCGATTCCATCGCCATGCTCTTGAAAGTATCCACAGTCTGAGGGTGGCTTCCAATCAGAGACAGCAAGTACTCTGCGCTATCAGGACCTGGCCCGAGTATGGCAGAGCAGAGTCAACGATGCCACGAGAAAGCACGACTTCGTCCAAGGGTTGCAGAGGCATTTCCGCTATTACCCCGCCTTCGTTGTGATGCCTTGGAGCAAGCGCCGTCAGACTCAGCGAGGTCAAGAGCTGATGTACCGCCAAGGAGGAGACTCAGGAGGAGTGAGAATTTCAGGCGAGTCCATCCTCCTGTAGAGATCAGACAGGCTCGGTTCGGATGTGTGAGCCTGTTGTGGGGAGTCAGCAGGGTTGTGAGAGATGCTGACACCTCTCCTGAGAGAAGTCTGTTCCAGTTTCAGAGAGAGCAGACTCGTAGCTGTACATGTCCGGAATCCTGCGTTCACTTCGCCGTAAGACCTCCAGCAAGACCATGGAAGTTCGCATACGGGTCAAGCTTAATCTTCTGCATCATTCTTGAAGCGTGGTCGATCCAATTGTCCACAATGTGAGCATCTCTGAGGTTCTTGTTGTTGTTGACCTGAGATTCCAAGATTGAGAGAGACCACAACAGCGTCAAGTAACCAGTCGAGTAAGAGCTTGACCGATCTCGTCAGATGTTGGTTCTACATTGCCTCTAGCCCTGATAGTAGAGGGACAGCAGAATGAAGTCAGATTTGAAAGCAAGGTGCATCCTCCACTCACGCGTGCGGGAGAGACATTGAAGATCCTCGCCTGTTGATAGACCCTTGTTGAAGGTTCATAGGAAAAACATGCATATGCGGATACATCGTCGTCTAGTCGCCTGAACTCGGTTCGCTTGTTACACCGATATCATACTTTTGACAACCAACGATTTGCTTTCCTGTAGCAAAAAAGTTGGTAAGAGTGAAGATATCAACTCAAACATTATCGGCGATCATCAGCAAAGATCCTTGCGAAGCTTTCTACTTCATCGCTACTTTCATTCATTTCTTGCCTTCTCCTCAGAGACTTGACATGCCTGGACTTTTCCTTCCCGCCGTCTGTTTCTGGCTCCAGCCTCCATTATCCCTCTTGATTCCTCCCTCCCTTCTTTCTCTCTATCACCTTCTCCCCTACTGTCTTGCTGTCCTCCCCCTTCATCGATTCTCGTCCGCTGGTTTCCATGCATTCAGCTTGGCCCAAATGCTGTAGGAGAAGTGGGGGGGTGGGGTGGGGCTGATGAGGGGTAGCGGGTTCTAGGGGTGTGTAGGGTACCGTAGCACGTCCTAGGTAGAGCAACTTATGGTAGATAGGGGTGGTCATCTGGATATACGGAGGGTTGCGTTCCGAATTCCATTGTCGGAAGGAGGGGTGTCGTCAAACATGTGACCACTGGGGGTGGGGTGGTGGAGAATAACATCATACATGGGATGGGGGTAACCGTACTAGGGGTCACGGGTGGTTCCAGGACCGGGTGCAGTCGTACCGGTAGAATCTCCGGGCAGAGTTGGCTCTCCGGAGGTCGAAGGGGGGTCATTTCTCATGTAGCAAGGGGGTACCGATGAGTGGTAGTGTATAGGGGTACTGGTGATGACTTCAGAAGGGGGGTCCGATCACTGTGCGCCAGTTGGCAAATTGACTGCTTGTAGGGAAATTAGGAGGGAGGTCCTCAGCGGGAAACCCGGGGTTCATTTCAGTGTACTTAACTCCTGACTCTAGCCGGATGAGCCCGGCGCTCTTGGGTGCCCGGCCCGGGGGCCCGACAACAGGCTCACTCAGTCACTCAGCACCGCAGCGCCCGGGCCCGGCCCGGGGGCAGAAGCCGCCGCCGGGCCTCCGACGAGTCATGCGTTGAGGCGGACCCGGAAATACAGCCGAAAGTTCTGGTCTGCCTGTATTTGTGGTACACCAGCGCTTCCAACAGAACACCGTGAATGAAGTATTTTTCGGGAAGCGAGGGAGGGAAGCAGTAGGCGGTACGGTGATCCAGCAGCGACCCGTCAACAAGACCGTGGTTGGGGATAGATCATTTCTGGAAACGTTTGACGCAGGTTTGTTCCTTGCCCATCGGTCTGATCAGGATGAGCGGAGAGAAGAAGCCTTTGTTCCCAGCGGCTCAGTTCCAGGGGAGCATGCTCTTTCCTTCAGGTCAGTTGCTTTTCTCATCCAGTGTGCATCTTTACTCTTGCAGCAGCAGCAGCAGCAGCAGCAGGAGCAGCAGCAGGAGCAGGAACCGTGTTCCCCAGCTTCTCGAGCAGCGGAGCAGATCCCAACGGAGTGAGTCAGCCGGGCTCGTCTTGGCTCAAGTGCTCAAGTTTCAAGCCCGTGGACATGGCTCAGGCCGAGGGCAAGCAGCAGACCAACATACTGAAAGCTACGGAGAATTTGCGCAGCCATGAGTTCATGGATGAGGACCTTCGTGAAAGCACATTCGGCGGTCGCCTCTCGCCCTTGGAAAATAAGAGGGATGAGAAGAGGGAAGAGCAGCGAAGGAAGGTCTTTCGATTGGAGCTTTCCTCTGATTCAGAATCAGGTGGTTGGACTTTTGATTTTTTCGGTTCTGATTCGAACCTTTGCAGATAGCAAATCGAGGCATAAGAAGAAATCGAAGCACAAGAGCTCGAAATCAAGCAAAAGGAGTCGTGAAAAGCATAGATCAAGGGAGGAGGAAGAGGTGAGGAAACCCAAACGCGAGAAGATCGAGGAAGTGTCCAATTATAGCAAAATCTCCTTGGCCGATCTTTGGCGGAAGAACCAGGTCATGACCATGTTCTTTGATCGTATTGGGGACAAGGTAAGTTTCTTTGTTCCTTCTCACTCAGATGAACTACTGCATGTCCGCACGTGGCATCCGGCCATGTGACTGATCTCATACATGACGGCTTGTTTCAGGCGAACCTCGAGTATGGGCACCCGTTCAAACTCGACGTCCCGATGTACCGCATCCAGAGGTTTTGGGCTGGAAATGGTTTCATGAAGAGGAGGACGGCGATAGTTTCAATGTTGGGTTTACCTTCCATGGGATTGAAGGGAGACGCACGTGGAACTTGGCGATATGTGCGAGCTCAGCAGATTCTGAGGCTCCAGAGCACTCAGATCAAGTTGTTGAAGTTGACTGCGCAGAAAGGTATGCGGAGAGTCTGTGGGTGCATTTGCAAGAGCCATTATTGTGAGATATTGTGAGAGATACAAGGGGGATGGCCTTGAATGATGTCTGGTTCTTCAAGAGAGTTCTTGTGTAAAGTTGGGCTTGCAGACGAGAATTCTCAGCCGCTGAAAAGGCAGAATGAATTCATCTCAATCGTCGATTCGAAGTCTGCTGAACTCTCTGCTGGGGAGAGTCTGGAAGATGCCCTTGCAAGGTGAGATTCTTTTCTGAGATTCTTCCAGCGCTCCTCCCCTCCCTCTGTCTCTTCCTCTGCCTCTCTCCCTCGCGCCCTCACTGTCTGTCTGTCTGTCTGTCTGTCTGTCTGTCTGTCTGTCTGTCTGTCTGTCTTTTTGTCTCCCTTGTTCCCTCGCTTTCTCTCTCTTCGCATCTGACTTCAATGATGTCAAGGAGAACTAAGGAATTCAATGTGTCGACACGAGAGCGTCCCAACGACATCCAAAATTGGTTGGCGTTTGTGAACCTTCAGGTCGTTAGCCAGCGGAGCTCTCGGTAATGGAAAGAATCCTTCTCTGACCTGATGGCAGGATGAGTTCTTCAAGCTGTACAACAGGAAAAATCAGATGGGTGAATTCCCTTGCTGAGTTTTGTGTCGGCTGCTGACCTTGCACTAGCCATCACTGAGAAGAAAGTTGCGATCCTGATCCGAGCTCTCAAGGAGAATCCAAAGTGATTAAAGACGTGTTTGCACCTTGGAAGATGACTGATACAGCATGTTTCTGACAGGAACGAGGAGCTGCTCGTGAAATATCTTGAAACCATTCAGGGCCAGGTAGACTTTGTCGCTGTTTCTTTTCGTCGTTTTGTGATGTTCCCCCTCGATCAGTTGGAGCCTGAGAAAGTTCAAAGTTTATGGGAGGCGGTCGTTGCAAAACACTCCAACAAACCTAATTTATGGAGAGCGTACTTGATGCACAGAAGGTGAGGAGAATTTCAAACATGGGAAGGTGATTTTGAGATCTCACTTATGTCTTTTACAGATCCAACTTTAAATCTTTTGAGGCGAGTTCCTCCACCTCCACCTCCACCTCCACCTCCACCTCCACCTCCACCTCCACCTCCACCTATATCTCCACCTCCACCTATATCTCCACCTCCACCTCCACCTCCACCTCCACCTCCACCTATATCTCCACCTCTACCTCCACCTCTACCTCCACCTCCACCTCTATCTCTCTACTTCACCTCCTCCTCCTCCTCCACCTTCCTTTCCTTCCTTTCTTCATACCAACATTCTGAAAGATGATCACTCACAGATGAGCTCCGTGCGGGCTGCTTACGTGACTGCCATACGAGCAATGAGGAACTGGAGAGATCGGAGTCGGAGTGAGAGGTGAGAAAGAAGAACGAAGATGTTGATGCAGACCATGCGAATGATTCTGGAAGAGGGAGGAGGAGGAGGAGGAGGAGGAGGAGGAGGAGGAGGAGGAGGAGGAGGAGGAGGAGGACACGCGGAGAAGGGGAGATACAGGAAGAGGAGGAGCAGAAGGAGCAGAGGATGAATATAATGAATAGGATTTCAGAGGCCATAAGTGACCAGAGTAAGGACTGCTGAATGATTGCTCGCAGGGAAATCTTGGAGACAGAAGAGTCGATGATCAGCTTGTTGGAGCAGCTGTTTGAGGTGAATTGTATTCCTTGTCGCAACTCTCCACTTATCCACCTCTTTCCCCGTCCTTCACTACCGCTCCCGCTCCTCCACTTACTCTCATCTATTCACCTCATCCGTCAATTCTGTACAATCCCTTCACCAAACATCTTCTCGTCCTTTTCTCTGTCTTCATTCTCATTGCGTTTCCCTATAATCTTCTTCTCCTGCCCCTTGTTCTCACTTTGAGTAGTTCGAGCGACATGCGGGCTTCGAGGAGAGAGGGTTGGCTCTCTTGCAAGCTCTGGTCGAATTCAACTGTTTCTGCCCTGCTAAATTCGCTCGCGATGAGAGCGAGGCAAGAAGATTCTTCCAAATGTTTTGGAGGAGCGAAGCTCCTCGGATAGGTAATCATCCCTTTCTATAAACCCCCTGTCCACTCTCTCTGCTTCCTTTTCTCCTCTCCCCCCCTCTGCTCTGCTCCGCTCTCCTCACGTCCCCTCCTTCCCTTTCCTCTGCTCTGCTCTGCTCTCTCGTTACCTGAGCTGTGCTTGTCTTCACCTCCTGCCTCAGCTGACCCTGATTCTGATGAATTTGAAAGGGGAGGACAACGCTGGAGGATTTGATCAGTGGGTGCAGCAGCAGCAGCAGCAGCAGCAGCAGCCGCAGCAAAAAGAGACGAGCAGCGCCTGGGGAGAGATCTTTACAACTCAGTCTACTGGACAGGAGGAGGAGGAAGCAGAGGGGGAGGGGAGAGATTTACAGCTTCCTCATCAGGAGAGTGGGACAGAGGAGCTCGGGGCCAACAAGGAAGACATGGAGGAGGAGCGGAACGGAGAGGACAGGAAGACAGGTAGCGATTCCGACGACAAGTCTTCGGAGGGGGATAGCGAGGACGCGAGCGAGGCAGAGAGCTGGGAGGGGGAGGACGTTCAGTTCTGCGAGATCTGCACAAGGATCAAGGCGATTGTCTCCTGTGTGGAGTGCGGGTGTGTGCTGTGTGGTCAATGCAGCAATGAGATCCACCGTCAGACGATTTCCAAGCATTCGGTAATGATAGACATGGAGATGGAGATGGAGATGCAGATGATGGTTGTGATAATGATGATGTGCATAATGATGACGCCATTGATGACAAAGGAGACGATCGATTTGTTCGCTTCTCGTGCAAACTTTCACATTTTCAACACTGCTTCTCATCAGTCCTTGACTTTGAATGTCGCCAGGTGCTTCCCATCAGCGCGAAGATCATCCAGCAGCAGCAGACCGAGGAGGACAGGTCGTTCGTCTTGTCGGTTGGCAGACGGCAGGACTGACGGAGGGGTTAGAGCGAGGATGGTGCAGGAGGAGAACGAGAAAGTTCAGCGATGGTTTGAGACCTGGGTGGAGGAGGAAGACAACCGGTCGTATGCCCAATGGCAGCCCCTCAAGCCCAACAAGGTTTAACTGTCTCCACCCACTGCTGCTTTTCCTGCTCTTGCTCCCCCAGCTCCCACTCCGTTCTCTTCCCCCTCTGCTCCTGCTCGTTGTCCCTGCTTCATCTGTTTTCCTCTTCTTTCTCCGCATCTCCTTCCTCTACCTCCGTCTTTTCAACCGCAGCCAATTGCTGCCTCCCTCACTGGTCTCGTACAGGATCCGGAGGACTACGAGCTGGATCCAGATCGTGCGCTGCTGTATGAAGACGTCGAGGTCAACGCAGATGCTTACCTTGCTCGTCCTCACCCCTTGGCAGCCGGTCCTTTTCCGCCTCCTCCTCCCTCGCTCCAGGGCTGCTCTCGTCAAGCTTCTTATGCGCGCTCTCCGCGTTCCTCTGCCTGCTAGATGCAGCACGCAGCATCCTGTCTCCTTCACGCGCATGTATATATCAGAGGAGGCGTGCTGCCCCAAATTCGCCCCCTCCTCTGCTGCAGAGGCTCTTGAGGGAGAAAGAAGAAATCTCTGCTCCTGCGTCAACCTGCATGGGGGAGCTAGTGATTTCCACAACCTGCTGCATGATATGAGAGCAGGAGCTGGGTTCCTGACGGAGCTCGTTTCCTCCTACTCTTCACTCCCTGCACAGAGGGTGGAGTCATGGAATCCTTCTCTTTTCGTGAGGTGATCCGACGCTTCCTTTCCGTTGCCCTACTCCTCCTCCTCCCTGTCTTCCTCTCCTTCTTCTCATCTTCCTCTTCTTCCTTCTACTCACGACTCACTCTCAACCAAAAGGAGCGATAAGGATGGGAGACGATCGTTCGTCAACAACTGCTGCCTCTTGCTCCTCTCCCGATTCTCGAGGGATCACGGTGAGCCCTGCTACATTCCTCGATTCTCCCCTCCTCTCCCCTCCTCTCCCCTCCCCTCCCCTCCCCTCCTCTCCCCTCTCCTCCCCTCCAACCCCTTTCTACCCA